GTTGGGAGTTGGTCTGAGGCCACCAGGGCTTGGGACAATGGACGGTGATGAAGAGCGCCGGCCAGGCATGGCAGCACCCAGTCAATCCCAGAGCCTCTGCCCTTCCACACAGCAGTAATGCGGATCCTGAAGGTGCCCCTCCCACGTGCCATCACTGCTTCCAGCCTCCTAACAATGTCACGCAGTCGGTATTATGATCATCTACTCCCATTTCACAGTTGAGAAAAGGCAGACAGCAAGGAGGTGATTTGCTCAAGGTCAGACAGTGGCAGGAAGGTCAGAATCTGAGCCCAGGTGATCTGGCTCCAGTATATTTCCTCGAGACAGGGACACTGTCCAGTCCGCAGACTCAGAGGCCGTGGGCAGGTGTCTCTGGAGCATTCCTGCCCCAGGAGGACGTTCTTTCTAGATCCTGCCTTGGCACTTGAAAGCACAGAGGCAGCCTGAGCCCTGTGAAGCTGGTCTCGCCTTGGGCTCTGGTTCAAGGCAGTCCCCTCCCCCTCTGGGTGGTTTATCGCTCCAGGGTTAGCTGAGATGGGAGAAGAGTGTGCTCAGAGCACAGCCCCAGCGTGCCCCTGTGCAGTCATCCTGGTTTACTCATGACATCTGAAATGATCCAACATGACTTTTCTCTCGGATGCCACATATACGAATCTCTAAGAGTTCACTACCCACAGGAGTAGTTCCCATAATTTACACTTTCTAGTTTCCTTTCTCTTTTAAAACGCAAGCTAAACCTCACTCCCTCGAAAGAGTGGATGCTTGGGAGGTGGATCGGAGTGTCATCTTGGGCGAAAGTGCTGGTTTACTCTATGGAGGGGAACCTTCCTTTCCGTGAAAGTGTGACGTCCCAGGGGGCCAGGCCCCTGACTTGTTACACCTGCAGCCCCCTAGAGAAGTGGACAGAGGGTTCTGTTACATTCTAACAGGCGCTCAGGGATGGTTTTCAGTGTGAGTGGTGTGAGTTGTGGGGGGAGAGGACAGGTGGACAGCCCAGAGAGAAGACACTTGTTCCTTGGGAGCTAACACAAGTGGCCCGTTGTTTTCCAACAGTGCTGGGGAGTCCAGAGGGCTCTGATGAGGTTCAGGGACAAATGCTGGGGACCCAGGTGGACATGGCGTCTTGGGCTCCGGAGGGAAAACCTGCTCCTGATACAGTTTGTGGGCTTCAAAGCCTTTCTGGATGGTGGTGGTGGGGGCGGGGATGAGAGAGTTCAGTTGGTTAAAAAAACACTAGACCACTTAACCTGGATGATGTGATGTTCTAGAATTCTGCGTGTCTTCCCCAGAGGACACAGGACAAGCACACAGGCGGGAGCCACTGAGGGCGCCTCAGTGTTGGACGGTTCGGTTCCCAGCCCTTCTGTGGGTGTGCGCACCCCTCTAAGAGCCTCTCTGGGAAGCCTGGCTCCCACTGCCGTTCTCACCGAGTGGCAGGCCACTCGCTTCAGGCTGTGTCTTTAGAGAATGACGGATCTAAGACCCACAGGGGGTAGCCAGACTCCCTGGGCCTTGCCCCTGTGCCTGCAGGGTGTCAGCCTATTCCTTAACCAACCCCCCCCCCCCCCGCCCTGTCCTTTTACCTGGGAGGAGGGGACAGTGTCCTTCTCCCCTCTCTGGGTTGATGCTGACACACAGTTCTGATAAAACATCCACGTAGGAAATGCCAGGCGGTAATGACAGATCCCTGATCAACATGTCAGACTGCTGTCACATTTCTCACAGAGTCTTATTTTTCATCTTCCCCTTTAAAAAAACCTAGCAAGGGGCGCCCGACTGGCTCAGTCAGTTACACGTCTGCCTTTGGCTCAGGTCACAATCCCAGAGTCCTGGGATTGAGCCCGCCTCAGGCTCCTTGCTCAGCGGGAAACCTGCTTCTCCCTCTCCCACTCCCCCGCTTGTATTCCCTCTCTCACTGTATCTCTCTCTGTCAAATAAATAAATAAAATCTTTAAAAAAATTTTGAAAACCTAGCACACTATAATTTTAAAAGAACCGATCAAATACCCACATTTTAAGAAGGAAAAAACCGAACAGACGAATTAATAATTCAATTTAAGTAATTGCTCTTGGTATGGTGTCATGCTATGAGTTTTTTGGGAGGTGGAGAGGGATCTGTCATGATCATCACCTGAGACTATTTTCTCTTTATTATTATTATTTTTTTATTGTGTTATGTTAGTCACCATAAAACTGAGATTATTTTCTATCACCTCATGTGTAGATGCAAAGGCATGATGCCCACTAGCAAAGGGGTTCCTGGATGGACCCCAGTCCACAGAAAGACAAGTGTTGGTTAGATGAAGGAGAAAAGAACTAACTAGGCACCTATCAGTGAATTACACCACCCCACACCAAGCTGCCCCATTATCTTACATATGGATCGCTATAATTGATTCCCAGACCATTGTCCCACTGCAACCTGGCCTTCCTAGGCACCATTTTCCACCTACAGCCAGAGTGATCTTGATAAAACACAACCAGGTCATGTAATTGTCCTGCTCGGAGCTCTCTGACGGTCCCCCCAGATCAACACAGACCTGGCCTGCGAGGCCAGTGAGGTCTGACCCTGAATGCTTTCTCTAACCCCCATCAATAGGTAGCTAACTGGGCACTATTCACCATCTACAATGGCCTTCTCTGTTAAAGCTTAGGTTTCCTGTAATTCAATTGAAATTCAAATGGAGGGGTGGATGGGTGGCTCAGTCCGTTAAGCCTCTGCCTTCTGCTCAGGTCATGATCCCAGGGTTTTGGCATTGGGCCCCTTGGTGGGCTCCCTGCTCAGAGGGGAGCCTGTTTGCTTCTCCGTCTCCCTCTGCTCCCCCCCACCTCCCCCCACTCTATCTCTCAAATAAATAAATAAAATCTTAAAAAAAAGAAAGAAATTCAAATGGAAGGCAATATGAACAGCAACAAAACAAAACAAAAACCAAAAAACAAAAGCCCAAAGCCGAAAACCAAAAGGTAAACTTAAGTGTCATATTTTTAAAGAGAATCATTAAGATATCTCAAGATAAGGTTAGACTTTATATTAGAAGGGGCAATCTCAAGTAATTTTAATACATATTATTTTAATTTCTTTAATTTCTTTAAGTTCTTTAATCTTCTTAAAGAACTCTGAAATTAATTTTTATTATAAAATTATTTTATAGCTGCAAGAAAATGAACCCTTAAGGTGTTGGAGTATGACACCAAAAGACTTTCTCAAGGATTCAATCTCAAAAGTCCTAGGTTTAGTAAGTTTGTGTTATATTTAATATTAAGATACTGGATTTAGCTCTATTTTTATGACTTTAACAATAATAGACATTTTCTTTAAATAAATTTTTCCCCCAAAGTATCAACTTCTTCGATAGATGCAATGTCACACAGACATTGTGACATAGACGACACTCTATAGCTCTAGCCAGCCGAATCACTACTGTAGTCCTACCCGGACACCTCCGTCCTTTTACCCCTCCAAGCCATCCAGTTAAAGACACAGTTCAGTAAAGAAAGGGTGCCCGCTGCCGCAGACACCCAGCCCCCTTTTCTAGCCAGTTTGCCACCTCTAACTCCTTGCTGTTAGAAATTCTAGAACTCTTGCAGGCTACACTGGAATGCTTATCAGATGCAAAAATCACAGGAGAGGATGCACATAAAAGCTTTCAAAAGGGTCATTCTTTTTATTACTATTATTATATTAGTCACCATATGGTACATCATTAGGTTTTGATGTCGTGTTCCATGATTCACTCTTTGCGTATAACACCCAGTGCTCCATGTAATACGTGCCCTCCTTAATACCCATCTCCAGGCTTACCCATCCCCCCTCCCCTCCACCTCCCCTCTGAAACCCTCGGTTTGGTTCTCAGAGTCCATGGTCTCTCATGGTTCCTCTCCCCCTCCGTATCCCGCCCCCACCTTCATTTTTCCCTTCCTTCTCCGAACGTCCTCCATGCTATTCCTTATGTTCCACAAAAAGGGTCATTTTTATCTGCCATCCTGCTACAAAGGCTCCGAGACAAGGGTGCTCTGCTAAAATGAGCGGAGTAGAGGTGAGCAGGTGCACACTGGCCCGGACCTCAGTCAGAGCGGGGCAGGACCCGCCTATTTTACATGCTGCTTTCTACATCACCTTCCTTTCAAAGAGGGGATTGTGAGAATGCAAAATGTCTCAAGAGCACGGTGCCAGGCAAGGAACCCTTTAAAATTCTGTTACTGTTGGGTGTACACACACACACACACACACACACACACATACACACACACACAGGCACACACACAAATATGCTCTTTTGGCACAACTGTAAGAAAAATGACTTTCTGAGAAATCTAACAAATATATTTTCCTTTGGCGCATGCTTAATCAAATGACGAAATAACAATATTTTAAGAATACGTATGTAAACAAAACAAGAGAAAATTATTATTCATTTCACCCTTTCACATAAGCAATACTGCTATCCAAGGACTTAGGAAAACGGCCCAAAATATTGCAGGTGCGAGGCAAACTATGTTTTCTTCCCCATCATTGAATAAACGTTCAGAAGTGATCTATATTCTTTTACAGCATGCATTCTCTTCTCATTGGGGCCATAGGATACTCATCTTAAGAGTGAACTGAATTCTATTCTATTATCCCCATGGAAGCAGTCACCATAACTATTTCTCTCTGCTCATGTCACTTCTATTCTTTTGGTCTCTGGGAAACTGCCTCCTTGTTAATTTAGAAATACACGTAGAAAAAAATACTACCCATATTTCTCAAAGATAGGCTATTTTCCTGATTACCTACGTCACCAATACCTTCACAAAAGCATTTCTTACAACCCTTTTGTCTTTAACGTTTTTAACTAATGTTAATATTTTGGCATGAAGGAAAGCATTTTTCTTAGGCAGAGAGCTCGATTTTGAAGAAAGTCAAAGATAAAAGAATATTAACATGGATTCTCAAGCAATCTCATTGAAAATGGTTCTCTCTTCCACCATTCAAAATATTTCAAGAAGGATTTACTTACCTGGGAATATTCAAAGTCAGTGATAGGAGCTATACTTTTGATATAGTCTGATCGGAATTGGTTTTCTGGGTTGGCCAGTGGAACTGGAGGTATGATAGTACTCATCGCTGAAACAATTGTCTAAAACGGAATGAAGAAAAAAATATGGATAAATACAATATTTAGGCTCCTTGTATGACAACTAAAATATGTAATTTTTGTCTATACAGTTTTAGAGAGCAGAGTATTTAACTTTCTGCTTTCCTTTCTATTAACCAAACATTTTAAAAAATCCTTACCACAATGGCATCTTTAACATTTTTCCGGATGTCCAGAATTTTCTGTTTCTTCTCTCTGTATTAAAAGAGAATTGTTATTAATTTAATTTACCTTTAGCACTGACTTGAATCCGCTGAGTGGAATTTTAAACTTCCAGCTGCAGCATGGGGTTAGACTGGTTTTCTTAGAGGTCAACATCAACCCCCAAAACAGCAGCTGCATAGTTTTTAACTGGGAAAGGAAACCATACTTCTTTCCTAATTTGTACACTAAGCAAACTTGAATGCATACATTACAATGTAGTTTTAAGCAACTACACAGGTTACACAAAGCATGGCTAAGTTGTTATGAAAACTGGATATAAAAACTCTAGCTACACTTGTAAATCTATTTTACTTGATTTAGCCATCTGTTGATTGTTATGTATTGAAATAGAGACCGACCAAGGATATAGAGAAGAGTGTATACTAACATTGGTTAAGAAATGCAGCACAGACCAACATCGCAAGAACATTTAATCAATCATATTTTGTTAAGCAAGCTATGTTATTTTTCATCTAGATGCTACCAAAAGAAAGATTTGCCTAAATATACCAAATTCAACAACACGCTTCTCTCTCACTCCCCTCTCCCCCCAAAAGGTCTTATTCGATGATCAAATTAACTATTCAGAGAAAGCACGTTTGGAAATGCTGGAGAGAAGTGAGAAAGTTTGCATGCAGTTTGGAAGCAAAAGCGAAATGGATCATTCCTTACTCAGGATTAAATCCATTGACATGCAGGATCCTCATTTGTTTGACGATCGTGCTCTTCCCAGACTCACCAGCCCCTGCAAACAAACAAAAAGAATGCTGGGGTCCGTGGCCCAATACCGCTGTCATCTCTCCTGACCCCCCGGACGGCAATCGCCCTACCCCAGCGTAGGCATTTTCCAGTACACCAGAGCTCGCGGCTGGAGGAGCAAGCGGGTCCCCGCGGCGGGCGGCGGTGAGCGCCGCCCCCGCCCGGCCCTGCACGCCCGGCCCTGCCCGCCCGGCCCCCGCGCTCGCTGCGCTCCGGGCAGTGCGCTCCGCTCGGGCCGGGAGCCGCCGCGCGCCCTCCGGCCTTACCCAGTAGCAGCAGGCGGTGGGTCGCTTTATAAGCCAGACGCTCCTTCTGCAATTGCTTCTCGATCTTCTTGTTGGCCTCGCGTCGTTCTTTTTCATCGACGCCCTGGTCTTCCGCCGTCTTGCTGTTGCCCAGACACCCCATGCCTGCCCGCTTGGATGGACGTCAGGCAGACTTAGGTATTTGCACAAAAAGCAATAGAGAGTTGTAGATGTGTGTGGATCCTGCGACAGCTTCTCTTCCTTGCCGCTGAAAGAGATGCTCTGGTCTCTCGGTGTTTGCCGATCGGAACAGGCGTTCCTGCTCCCTCCCTCTGCCCACCGCAAACTCGCAACTAAAAAGGATGCGAGGAAGACGCGCGGAGCCCAACAGATGCCTTTTTTTTTTTTTTTTTTTTTTTAAGATACAGGTTAGAATTCTCTGCTGGACAAATCGCACACAATGAAGGGAGACGGGGGCCGAGAGCACCGGGCTCTGCTGGAGCCAGCCAGGGTGGCTCTGCTGGAGCCAGCCAGGGTGGCGCTGCGCCCGCCGCCCGCACCGCCCGCCGCCCGCCGCGCTCAGCCCGGCTCAGCCCCGCCTCCGCCTGCGCTGCAGGGGAAGCGCCTCGCGGGGGAGCGAGAGGAGGTCCCGCCCCCGCCGGGTGCTGGCGGACAGCGGCGCGGGGACACGGAGCGCGCGGGTCCGGTCCCCTCCCGGCGACTGTGCGCACCTGCCGGCCCGCTCGCGCCCTACACCGCCTCCGCCGTCGGACGCGCGCCCCCTCCCGGTTCCGAGCGACCCCGGGACCTCCGCGCGGCAGGGAAGGGGAGCTGGCCTGTTCGCGGGGATCTCGCTGGGGGCACTAGCGCTACTGGGGCTGGAGGGGTCGGGAGCTGACGTCTACGAGCCCGGCCCGCGGGAGGCTCACCCGCGCGGGGTCCGCACCTCGGCCGCGTGCCTCTCTCGCACCCCGAGCCCGGGAGACTGGGTCTAGGCGTGCGCTCCCCGCCTTTGCCTCGGACGCCTCCCTGCTCCCAGGCAGGCGAGGACTCGCTCAGGATCATGCATATTCTATCAGGGAGGAGGATCGGTAAGAGGCTCACCAGTCACACCGCCTTTGTTCCGTTCATTTTCTAGACTATTCCAGCGCACCCACGCCGCCGCCTCCCTTAGCCTCTTGTCTTTCTCTCCAGCCCCCGTTTTTCCTTCGCAGTTCTCGGAACAGCTCTACTCCTTTCCTAGGAGACACTGTGGCCTCGAACTTTGGCACTGTAGCCCTGGAACCAAAGAGCGTAGAGACCGGTCCGCATTCTCATCCACGGTGCTGAGTGCGAGTTCCTTGGAACTGCTACCACCAGCTCGCCTAGATGGTACGTCCGCCACAGCTTTGCACTCGCGTTCTTGGACTTGCGGGAAGGATGGCTTAGAAGTTCGGGACAGAGATCACCTCCTTTCCTGTGGCACTGTTGGGGCACAGTGATGGTCTCCAGGCTCTGGAGGGCCCGAGGCCCTGCACACTGATTCTTCCATGTGGCCTTGTTCGTCCGTCTTAAAGTGCCCCAGTTTCCTCCCAACTCACATTTCTCTCACATTCAGCAAGGCCTGATCTTCTTTACAGAGAGCAAATGGCACCCGGCGGGGGGGGGGGGGGGGGGGGGGGGGGGGGGGGGGGGGGGGGCTTCCGACGCTCTGCTGCCCCCTTCCCTCTGTAGCCCGTGCCCCGAGGGGGGCACAGCCAGCCTCACTTGTCAGTGTGTCTCATGCAAACCCAACAGCACCTCCTTATGTCGCAGGCTCCTTGTTAGGGCCACCATTTACCCCTCGTGCTCACAGCAGCCAAAGAGTTATAAAGGGAATCTGACTCGGGCCTGTGCTTCCTGACCTCCTGTACACACCTCAGCTCCTAGGATCCTGGCTTTGGCCCATCTCCCTATGCTCAAAATATTCTTATTAGGGGTGTTAGTGGCCTCTCAGGCACTAACCTTCATCTGAGAACTTGGGTCTTTGCTTTCTTTGACCTCTCCATGGAACTGGCACTGACGGTCCTTTGAGACTGCCTTGTTCTTTGGCTGGCATGTCACGGTGGTTTTGATGCTCTTCTCACCCTCTGGCTGGTGTAGGTGTCTGGGGCCCCACCCACCCTCTCTCCCTGGACACACACACTTCTGGCAGGGCTGACTGTGTCCTCCATAGTCTATGCACACAGCTCAGACTGCGGCCACATCACATCTCCAGCTTAACTCACCCTCTTGTCCCCTGCCATCCTGGAGCAGACCTTCACTTTCATCCCCCTGACATAGATCCCCAGTTCTGCCTGCCAAAGGCTGAGTTCATGCCCTAAGCCTCCCCTCACACCTCCAGCCCATATCCTATCCGTTCTCTCTCTGTGATAAGGGTCCCTGATTTTCTAAACCAGAACACGGGACTCATTCCTGACTCCTTTTCCCTAACCCAAACAGTTCCTGTGTCCCATGGAGTCAGTTTTCTAAATACCAGCTATCTCTTCCACTGTCTTCCATTACTAGGGTCTTAGATCACTAATCTAACAGGGATTTTGGCAATGGCCTCCAGCTCATAGTCTACTGCCCCATGTTGCCACAGTAACAGCACAGATCTACCATGTCTGTCCCCACCACCATCAAGTCCTCGACCATGGTCCATCAAGACTGGGTTGGTGTAAACTCTGTGGCCTCAGCTCTCAAGGGTCACCCCTTCCCAGCACTGCCCTGAGTCTCCTTCCAACCGTGTGGACTTCTGGAACACCTTGGCTTATCCATTGGGTTCACATGCTGCTTCTTTCTGGAATATATGGGATATTTTCTTCAGTTGGCCACCTCCTAGTTATCCTTCTAGCCTCACTACTCCCTCCACCTTCAGTGTTAGGCCCCTCCCCGTGCTCCATCATCCCACCAGCTCCTTGAATTGTAATGGTTTATGTACAGCTTTTCCCAAAGTCAGCTAGACCTTGGCCTCCATGAGGGTGGGGCCTGAGTCTGTACTTTCCATCTGCTGCACCTGTGTCTGTCCTGCGTGTGGCCGGAAGGAGGTGCCCCATGGATCTTTGTCAAATGGATGAATGAATTCCTGAAAGCCAAAGAGAACTCCTGCAAGGGTCGGGGGGTGGTCTCATGAAAGGAATTTTGTCATCAGATTTTAAGTTGAGGAAGCACTTGTCCTGTTTGGTACTATGCTGAAAATATTAATACTTTCTTAAAAAACAAGAGTAATAAATTACTCTTCTGGACACAGGCAGAAGCAAACATACAGTGCCATACTATATGCTGAGCTAGGTGAAAGGTTAGAGTTTTGTGGGAGGGGACTATTATCACCATTGCCTGGCCTTGCACTTGTAGTTAACACAAATGTTCACACATAATAATATCAACCTAGCATGTACTGTGGGTGATGAGGGCACTCAGGAGGCAAGAAAAGGTATATAAAAATTGCATAGTATAGTGGGATGTTCATAAGGATTTGTCAGTTTTCTTAATGCCAAGATTTTAAAAAAGATTTTATTTACTTATTTGTGAGAGAGAGAGAGACAGAGATAGTGATAGAGACAGTGAGAGAGAGCACAAGCAGGGAGGAGAGAGAGAAGCAGGCTCCTCACCGAACAAGGAGTCTGATGCGGGACTCTGCCTGGGATCCCGGCATCCCAGGATCATGATCTGAGCCGGAGGCAGACGCTTAAGCCACTAAGCCAACCACTGAGGCATCCCTAATGCCACGACTTTTATAAACAGTTGGAAGAAAAATTTCAAAACAAATCCCATGGAAACTCATAAAGGGAGAATTAAATTAGAACCCCGAAGCTACACTTTTAAGATAGCCTGATAATTTAGTTACCCTAAAAATGCAGCAAAAAGTTTCCACTTGTTCAGATCTAGGAATTAGGGGTGTCAAAAAACAAGACAATGGGCCCCAAATCAAGTTGCTTATGCTAAGCCCCACATGACCAAACTTAGAATCAATTACAGTTTTGACTTCCCTAGAAATGAAATCTTAAACCTGTCAATCCGCAATCACCCAATGAGCACATGTTAGGTAATCTGCTTCATACACCACTGTCACCTTACAATAACCAACCCGCTTTTTAACCTAGAGTTATGTCCTTGTTTCTGCTCTATGCTGGTTACGAAAGTCTTTCATTTAGCCCAGCTCCTCCGAGCTCCTTTATTTCAGTTAGATGGGATGCTGCCTGATTCGAATCAAGTTTTGCTCAAACTCTTAAATATTTTAATATGCTTAAGTTTATCATTAAACAGGCTTAAAGATAAATTTTTATATTTGGAATTCCAGTAAGATTTAGATGATCCTATATGATGAATACTACACCCAAGAAGTTAATATATCAATACAAGAATAATAGGTTCCATGTAAAATAGCGTCTCCTAGTTGGTCACTGACCGCCAGCACTGCGCTAGTCCTTCCCATGGTGTAATTTCTGTAGCATTTGCAATAACCCTAAAAGGAACTATTGTTGCCATTACTTTACAGGGGCTTTGAGGGGCGAGTAAGGGGTGTATCTGGGATATAAACCCTTGAATCCTGACCTAACAGGGGCACGTTTAGTGTGTTTCACAACACGCCGCTAAACATTCCAAACAGAAAAGTAATGGCCATTTACAGTGATGCAACTTTTTTAATGAGACATGCAAAGGCAGCTTTATCTAGTCTGTTATCAGGTAGGAGATCAAGATGCCTTGGGGTACCTGGGTAGCTCAGTGGGTTAAAGCCTCTGCCTTCGGCTCAGGTCATGATCCCAGGGTCCTGGGATCGAGCCCAACATCGGGCTCTCTGCTGAGCAGGGAGCCTGCTTCCCTTCCTCTCTCTCTGCCTGCCTCTCTGCCTAATTGTGATCTCTGTCAAATAATAAAATAAATAAAATTAAAAAAAAAAAAAGACACCTTCCCCCTCCCTCCCTTTAATCCAATCATCTGGCCTTCTCCTAGTCTGGTCTGGGAAATCAGTCCTTGGTGTTTTAAACCATGGGATCGGAATCCAAAATTCCAGCTGGCTCACCTGCAGTGGCAGGAGCGGCCCTTTTGGGGAGCACGGAGAGAAGCCTGAAGCCGCGGGCGGTGCAGGCCTCTGTTGCCAGGCAACGGCTGTGGCAGCATCGCCCGCACCGAGATGCGCACACCCACCTGCGTGCGGAGAGCCAGGGCCGCCCCACAGCTGCCTGCCCGTAGAGGGGGCGGCGGCCGGGTCGGGGAACCGCCTGCGCCTCCCTAGGAGGGCAGAGGAGGCCCTGGGCCCCCGGAGGAGGATTGCAAAGGCACAGAGTTTGGGAGAAAAGGACAAAGGTCAAACAGAGGGATGGCTTCCTTACTCTGGTTGATATTTAAGACAGGGCGTCTCAAGCGTTAGCGCATTTGGAAGCTTAATTATTTAAATTTCATTTAC